CAGTTTAGTAAATTTGTAGGGAATTTTGTGTTTATTAATAAGTTATTTATAATTTCAATCTTTACTATAACTTCTCCTTTCCGTATTCCTCACATGAATGTAAATGAATAACCAGTACTTAAAGAGTTTTGGTATCGTGTGCGTGCTACAATTGTTAGTCTCCTGCCAGCTGTGATAGTTGTAATTATTCTGCTTGGCGTTCTGTCTCTGCCAAACATTTAATTGTAACTCTCCTACAGAGTTAATGAGTCAGCTTCTAGTAGTATTTAATTGTGTATTTCTTGACTACTGATCAACGTTTAAATTAATTTGGACTGTTCTATTTTATTTTGCATCATGGCGTGTTGTGGAAATTGTAGTACAAAAGAATGCCTTTATGTTCAAATTTTTGTTTAAATAAATTGGTTAGTTTAACTTTCTCAGTCCTTTATCTTAGTTCATCGGACATAGCGATAATTCGCTTCACGTCTGTTAGAGTTTGGGGATTAATTTATGGAATCAAAGAAAAAGAGGCATCATCGGATCAAGTGCAACCCTACAAATTTCATACTAGTAATGTAAAAAGTGAATCTAACGTAATCTTTATAGCCAGTTTCAATACGAACACAACTTTAAACATGTAATATAAAATTCAGGTTTAGATTTCTTCACTATAAATTCCTATGCACATGCATTAATACTGATTTCTGGGTATGTAACCAGGGGTTCTGGTCTGACAAGCACGATCAATTTGCAAAAATGTGCTGGCACCTTTTGAAAACTGGCCATTGTTTCTCAAGACACAAGCGTGTTTCGACATAAAGACCCAAAGGTGCACGGCACCCCAATGAAGCTCAGCTTATATCGCGAAATATGTAACCTTTATCAAGATGCCGGGGAACCCATGGAAAGATATTTATCTTGGCGAATAATCACCAACCTGTATAAAGGTGCTAACATCTTTATGACATCGTCTGGGTGTTGAGACACAAATATTCCCAGCATTTGTGCCATAGAGCAGTGGTCTTCTAACTGTCGATGATTCCGCGAGTCGAAATACGAGTAAATTCGACGTATCACATTTGTCAAAGAGCATGATGTGCAATGCTTTTCAAAACTAAACAGTTTTCTGAAAGAAAATAAATTACATTTACACGACAGGGTTAAAAATTATATAATGGAGTAACTTTTTCAAATGAAGGAATCTTAGAATGTCTCACAAAAGAGAGAACTAGCTATGACTGGATAAAAAATTCATTCGTGAACTACGATAAATTACACTGGTACGCAAAACTTAAGGTGTTCTTTTTGCCATAACTCTACGACGAATCATCTGAGAGACATGAAATTCAGAAACTGAGAGAAAGCATTTTGTATTTAAGCGATGACGAAAGCACAGTTACGCATAAATGAATACAATGCATACAGTATGGAATCAAGGAAAAAGAGGCTTTATTGAACTCCTAGTATCGCTGTCTGTAGAAGAGGAATAATAAGCAGATGTTCCTTAGTATGGGATATGGCCCTCCGCTTACTGCAATGGTTGCTTCGCACCGTTTCTCCATACTCAGCACCAGATTCTCCAACAGATCTTGAGATAAGAGTGCCCGTTCCTCAATCAGCATCTGTTTCAATTGTTGGGTGTTCCCCGGAGGATGTAATCGTGCCAGAAGGCGTCTCCTCAAAGCATCCCACACATGTTATATGGGATTTAAATAAGGGGAGTACGCTAGCCAATCCATTCGAGTGATATCTTCACTTCCAAGTAGTTTCTTAACAGCAGGAGTCCGGTGCTGCCTTGCATCGTCATCCATAAAAACGAAGTCTGCTCCAATGGTACCTCGGAACAGACGCACATGGGAAAAGATCATCTCTTGACAATAACGTTCTCCGGTTACAGAACCTCTGTCGAAAGCGTGAAACTCTGTCTGCCCGTTCAGCATAATGCCTCTCCTGACAAGAACTCCAGGACCACCGTAACGGTCTCTTTCCGTGATGCTACTGGGATGAAACCGTGTCCTGACCTCTCTGCAAATCAACTGGCGTTGAGAATCGCTTATGGCACTAAAGGGACTCTCATCCGTAAAGAGGGCACAACTCCATTGATGAGATGTTCAGTTTTTATGCTCCTTGCGCCACTCTTAACGTAGTCCCGATGGCCAACTTTCAAAGGGATGCTGCGTTCAGGACAGCGGGCGAATTGGCCACCTTTGTGAAGGCGTCTGGGCACAGTGAACTGCGACACTTGTATACAGCTCCAGAGCTATGGCCCTTGCTGACTGGTTTCGGGCTCTTTTCGCCCGCAGAATGATATAGAGGTCATCCAGCAGTTGTTTTCCTGTGTTGGCCACTAACAACCTTTCTAACAACTGTACCTATGGTTTGGAAGCACGCAAACGACACTTTTATTAATTCCGAACTCTTCAGCTAGACTGATCCCACTACGCCCCTCCTCCAGCTTTTCGATCATTCTTCCATATGTGAAGTCATCCAGGTGATTTCTTCTTATGGAGTAAAAAATTAGATCCCACAGTTATCAGTTTCCAATAAGCTAACGGTGACGAGGTTAAGTACGTTTAAAATGAGTTTTCCCCTCCTCCCCGAGAGGGAGAGTGCCATTAAACATTTTTATTCTAACGAGTTGATGGTTTTTTTGGTGCATAAATCCTACAATTATGATTAATGTTGCATCCTTTTTAAACTATCCATATCAAGTGAAGAGGCGGCGTTATAGCCTCCGGTGTCTCGAAAAATTTCGGATAGCTCCATCCGCCCCGGCCAGAAATAACGAAATGTTACAATACAAGGTACAGAATATTCTGCATGCTTGGTGTCTCCGCCTCTCGTCTATTTATCAAAATATATTTATCAAACACCATTAAGACAATCCCGGGAAATTTTTAATTATCTGAACTCCTCTGACAGTTAAAACTAGACTAGTAGCTATTTAAGAAATTATAAACGCCAACAGCAGTTATTTTCCAGTGTGCTACGAAATTCTAAATGAAAACCGCAAATAATATCTAGAATTTTATTTGAACGCTATGCAGTAAACCCTCGATCTAAGGAGTGAGATACCTTTAAATAATTTTTTTAAATCAAAATTTGTTACGTTTTTATATTAAAATTCCATTTCTTATAAGCATTTTGAAACAAACCGATGTAAAAGGTCACTCTGGAACCAAAGTTATTGTAAAACATTATCTAAGCTTTCGCCGTGGTAGTTATTGTAAAACATTATCTAAGCTTTCGCCGTCGTCCACTAGCGGCTTAACGGTAAAAACCGCTGAAGACTAGTAGTTGGGTCCGAGTTTCAAATCCGAACGGGCTGGCTGCGTGAGCGTTTTCGTGGTTCTCCCCATGTTTAATGTGGATACGACTCAGTTTCGATTAAAGTGACCTCCACGGGGCATCCCTTCCTTTCCGTGGCCGAGTGGTTAAGACTGGTAGTTCGGCCTGGCTTAGGTTCGATCCCAGGCAAACGGGCTGGCTTGCATGGTTGGTTTTCCTCATGTGTAAACGTGAATACGAGCCAGTTTCCCTTAGAAAAATCCTCCACGAAGGCATCCCCATTCTCACGCAGAGAGCCCTCATGGTTTTGAGATATTCAAATAACTTAAGCTGACCTCCTTTTCCGTATAGTTCCTAAGGTGGAGCACGTAATAAGTAAAAAAATGCTTTTGCCCTTTAAAGGGCCAGATTGTTTTTGCTCCCATTTGCATTTCAGCAAATTGCTCATATTAAATCTGCTATCCATAAAATGCTTGTGTATACAAATAAATAGCTATCTATGACAGAAAAATTAATTTATTAGCATATTTATCTATGTGTTTTAACTTTAAGAAAGTAATAGCTCACAAGATTCCAAGGCAATTACTTTTTCAATGAAGATATAATAAAAATGGGATTTTTCTGTTTGGCACGCATGATTTGTCTTAACTGGCTGATTAGCATTTTAAGAAACTTTGAATAAGTGTACAAGCATTGTATCTATGTACAATGGACAATTCTTGTGCTCCTGAACATAAGAACTTTTAGAGTCATAATTAAATTTGAAATTGTGTAAAAGTTTCGACTCCTCACGTTTCACCTCACTTATTAAAATAATGGAGTTATGTGCGCAATACTGCTTAAATATTGTAATCATGCATGCTTGCAAACTTTAACTCATCTTTTATATTTATTTGTTAATATTATGAAAATAATATGCATTTAAGGGATTTAAAGATAATTATACCTTACTTAAAATTTTCTCAAAACTAAAATTTTCCTACTTGCGAGCATGATTTCTCTAAAACTTTTATTCATCATTTCAAGGACATGTGACCAATTATATAAATCCTATGCGAATATAAAATGATCAATGCTATGCTCTTCGCATAAAAATTCTAGGATCTACTTTAAATTTTATCTTAGAAAATAGTTAAATTTGGAATTTCAAACGTAAAAAAAAGGGAAAATATGTAGCATTAAATTTTTAAGTAGAACAATTTAATTATACTTCATTTTTTAAATTAAGGGGAAAACATCAACCAAAAATAATGATTTCTTTATCCACAGGATTTTGTCGATGCCGAAGAAGGTATTTTATTTAAATATTTTAAGTATTCTTTATTTCATAAGGAAATTATAAATTCGTTGTTAATTTTGAGAAGTAAATGAACATAATGCAGTATCAAGGATATGAAAATAAGAATATAAAATTTCACAATTATAATAAACAAGTTAGTTATAAATTTATTCAGCTTTAAAATGTGTAATATTTTTTGCGTATTTTGACTTTTGATTTCTGATACCTGAAGTCCTAACACAACGGACTTCGAATTCGAAGGACAGAGTACGACTACCGGGACTAATGAGCAAATGGTAGTTGTGAGAAAAAAATTCTTAACTTCGAATAAGACTCTCGGCTATATTCGCTATAATTCGTATGTACGCGCAGCTTAAAGTCGGTTAAATACGCGCAGCGAAGCGTCAGTTACGATCAGCTGCTCGGAGAGAGATGACGTTAGTCTGTTTTCCTGCGACGAAAGTGAGAACGCACGTGTCGTGGTCTATAGGGCTCGAAGTAATATAAACTATGGATGGCTATGTATAAATAAATTATCGCAGTAAATAATGTGTACAGTAAATTCGAATGAATGTGAGCGACTGGATTTTGTAATTAAGGTTTAAAATCGGAAACTGGGGGTAATCATTAAGTTTAAAAGCAGTGCTTCTGTTGCTCTTCTACTAATTTGGTATGTATATTATTTTACATTTATATTATGCATGAAAAATAGATCATATAATAATTAGTTTAATAGACTGAATTATGCATTATAAATTTATTTCAATTCAAAAACCTCCCATTTTGCATAGTTCAAAAGTAACCAACTATACCCTTAGTAATCTTGGTTATCTTTTGATTTTCTTACGTCAATAACATCAAATCATGTAGTTTATATTCTAAACATGAATGAATATCTTTTCTTTAATTCCCTAAAATGCAGATAGGGATATTTATATTATGTATGAATTGTATCAGTCGAATGTCTTAGTGACCAGTTTTTGCAAAGCATTTATTAACAGTAACTATAAAAGCGAGAAGCCTGTAATTTATTTTAATGAATAATCAAGTTCCAGAACTCCACTTTTGGGATTCATAACTATAAAAAACACAATATTTTCCTTATAATATATTTTAAAATATCAGTAATTCCTAGTTGGTTTTTAAATTTTCGAACTATGCACACAAGTTTTCATTTTTATCCGAAACATTTGCTATTGTTCATTCAAAAAGTATATAGAATGTGTAATATCCTGTTTTATATATTGTTCATAATGCAGTTTACGATTTAATGGATTTCCGATTTTACAAACAACCTTTCGCACCAATTAGCGCATTAAATCAAGGATTTGCTATATTACGTTTTAAAGACTGCATACGCAGTCAGTACATTTAATACATAAAACGTATAAAAATACACAGGCTTGTATGTAAATAATTATAGACTTCTTTATTTCTTACTCCAGGGTGTTACCTGATAGTTTTTTGGATTCTGACAAATTTTGTATCTTTGGAGAGAAATTACTAGAAATTAACTTCATTATAGATTGTAGATAACTAATGGTCAACCGAATTCTTTTCTTGTTAATTTTCAATTGTGGAAATAAATTCACATATAAATGTATTCCAAAACAGAACGATTATTCTTAGTACTAATTCCTAACTGGGCTTACTTTTTTTTGACAAGTAGGAATAAAAGTTAATACAATTTTAATCTTCAAATATTTGAATAAGATTTATATCACACTAAATTAATTAGCTCCATTTATAGATTTTCTGATGGGGCAATTATGTTCGTTTTTAATGGAAATGAAAATAATATAAACTTGGTTTCTAAAGCGCACACTGAAATTGAGTACAGTGGCTATTGCATCATTCAAAGTAAGTCATTTTTATAATTAAAAAAAGTCAACCATTTTCTGGCGGGAAATTAATAAAAGAAACTTATTCGCCTTTTAATGTTTTTAAGAACAGGACTGAAATTACTGCTACAATTAAAGATGTACAATTGTCTCGAAATACCGAGATGCGGCGTCACGTTCTTCACTAATTTGAAACTGCCACATTTTATATTAGTTCAGTAACAATGGATGGAGCAGGAGCAATGATAGGCCGCATAAATAGAGTTCTAACTCTTTGCCAGAATGATAAGATTTCCGTGTTTTTCGAGCTTACACTGAATAATTAACCAATACGTGTTAGCCAAAAAATATTTTAAAAAAAATGGACATAGCGTTCAAAATTGTTCATCACATTCGAGGAAGTTTCCTCAATCGGTGTTTCTTTCATTTGCAACTTGATGATGGATAACCAGGGTTGTTATCATTAGACGTATATCTGAGGTGACTAGGTGGAAGTAAATTTCTACAATGATTTCGCGATTTATTAAATGAGATAAAATTTTTTCTCGTAAAGCAAGATTAAGAATGTGAAAATTTAAATGATGACACTTGGCTCAGTGACTGAGTATTTCTTACAAATTTTATATTAAAATTAAGTGATTTAAATTAAAAATTATGAGGGAAAAACAAGACGATAATTGAAATGATTAGTAGCATTAATGCATACGAAACAAAATCTTATGTTAATAGAAGATCGTCAGCAAAACAATTTGAATTCTTTTCTAAATATGTTCTATCCTTTACAAAAACATCCTAATTGCATTTATAGCACTGCAAACATGTTGCATGGTGATTGAAGACTACGGTGATTGAAGACTTGCAGGTAAAATTCATGATTTTGAAAAAATAGTTATTGTGTAGTATTCGTCTTTTAAAGATATAAAGGTGAAACACAATGAGGGAAAAGTTCCTGACTCATTTAATGCTGAAAAAAAAGCATAAGAAAATGAAATTATAACTCTAAACCTGATCTTACCTTTCAAGCCAGAAGAGAGCTTATAAACTTGAGGAGGATTTTTGGGAATAAGTCAATAGAGAAAAGTATATAAATGTGACTAAATGTAGGGAGTATGAGAGTATAACTCATTTTGGATATATAACTCGTTTAACTACTCGTTTTGGATCTACATATCGAAGACTAAGTATTTTTACCTACTTACTGATTCTAAAAATGAAGATTTATTATCATAGTCTGGATACACACCAAATTATCTACGCTTTGTTAGAGACATGGAAACGTAGAATTCCCATTAATGAAACGATAATAAAAAAATATTTAATTCATATTTTTCTGTGACTATTATCAGTTAATAAACATTATTAATGAAATATGTTGGTTCAATACCCCTTTCCCTGTCACTTATTAGTACAGAAGACACAAGTTTGAACGCGTCAGATGTCAAGATTTTAATGCATAGATCTCAAAACGTTTCTAAGAAAAAAAGGCGATTATACATATAACATAAATTGTTCTTTTTCCCTCGATATATAAATTGTGGATATATTCAAACATATAAAGAAATATTTAAAGAAAAGTGAATTAATTAAAAAAATAATTTTTAGCATAGTATTTATTCTTGACCTTTTCCTACAAAAGAGGAAAATTTTTATTTTATGTAAAATTTTGCTTAATTATAAAGTAAGTCTTCAGTTAATTAATAGTTTGGTTTTCAAGTAAACCAAACTATTAATTAATGTAAAGCAGGAAAAATTTATATATAAAATTGTAATTAATTTTGTTCAATAATTTTACGTTTCTCTGTGCTTCGCTCTTATAAACATTTGTTTTCAATGTTTTAAGATGCAACATAATTTTTGGTGAGTTTCCAATTTCTGCTTTTTAAAATAAAACTAAAAGATATGAATTACATCTACCTACTGAATTTCATTTACTTTTCTTCAGGTTAAATATTACTTAGAGTGATTGAAATACGTTATTAAAAACCTTTGTAACGTTTGTGATTATATTCTGTGAGTACATTTAAATCCAGTGGTATAAGACTAAGAAAAGCAGTTATATCCAGTTGTTCATTATCAATAACTATAAAAACAAGATGCCTATAACTATAAAAACAAGATTCAAGATGCTTTGATTTTTTCAATGAATAATCAGATTCCAAAAATTATGCTTTTGTGATTCGTAACCATAAAAAGCATCATATTTTTTCTATAATATTGTTTAAAGTATCAGTAGTATCTAGATGATCTTACATTTTCTGAACTTTTGCTCATTAAGTTTTAATTTTTGTTTGAAATATTTAGCACCGTTTATTAAAAACGGTATAGAGTCTATACTAAAGTCTGTGATATACTAAAATCTGTGTTTTGTATCCCAATTATAGTTGGTGAGAAAGTTTTTCATAATTTATTTTAAAGCAGCTTAATTGCAGCATATCTCAAAATGTTTAGATCTTGACAGACATTAATTCCTCTTTTCAAATGCTGATATTGTTTATGAATTTATAATGCACTTTCTCCAGTACTTTATAAAAAAGGGTTTCAATTGTTAAAAAAATCAGGTGAAAAGAAATGTGGAAAATTAAAATTATGCTTCAAGAGTTTTCTTCATGCCTATTAATGCGATGAAAATGTGTTGTAAATAACTAAGAATTTAATTCATTTTTTAGTTTGTTTATTCGTAATTTTAATCCTAAATCCTGAGCTTCAATTTCTGAAAATCCTTTAATACTAATTAGCATGGGTATCTCCCATAGCAGTTTTATCAGCGCTAAACATTTCACTGCCCATAAGCTATGTGATAAGCGTTATTAAAATATATTTACTGAATACAATGGAACATCGATAAGATGAGCTGAATATAAAAATTTAGAACTTGATAATCATGTTAAATTTTCTTCATGGCAACAAAATTTTAATTAATTGATGTTTCTTTTTTAAACTATGGTCCTTTCTGTTTATTGAAGTTATGCTTATGTGGCTTATCGAAGTTCAACTGCATTCAAAACACGAATCCATGCTTGAAATTATTAGACATTATTAGACTAAGTAGTATTAACCAATCTTCCACGTAACTATGAATACATATACCCTTCTTGCTGTATGACACATATATCAAAGGAAGATATTTTGTGATTTCAATTGCAGATGTAGAATTTCATTATGTATGATATATTTCTCATTAAAATGTACTGACTGCGTATGTGTATTTTTATCCATGCGTCGAAAAAAAATTAATAAGTAAGATAAAGAGAATAAATTATTAATATTTATTTTCAAGTTTTGTTTTCAGATCGTGCATTTGGTCAGCTTAGCTGATTAAAATTAAATAAAACATATTGATACAAAACTTAAAATTTTCCCTGTTATCTTCCCAAATAACAGTTTTACATTATCCACTATTTCCAGTTATCTGGCCACCATTCGTATCAGATAATAATCAAAATTCTATTACAACTATATGCCACAACTAAATCGTCTATATCTGGAAATTTCAGCTATTCTTTATTCATTTTCTTATCTTTCACTGAAAATGTGAAGAGAACTTACGCTGTGAGTCTTTATTAGTAAGCTGAGCTTTTGCATGAAAAATTGATGTAAAGCAGATTCGTGATATTAAGTGTTTAAACACTTAGTGGGAGTTTTAGATACTATTTTTCACCATTAGATGGCAGCACTAAAATCCCTAAAGGGAATATTTGTATTCATAGTTCAACATTTTCCTCATAGATGGCAGCAGTGATATTAGACAAATTTTAAGTTCATTCTACCTTACAATATTGCAGAGAGATGTCAAAAATAATTCATAGATAATAGAAAAGATATTAAAACA